AGGAATCACTCCTGGCAGTGCTTGAGGGACTGTGTGGGATGCCAGGGATTGAACCTGAGACAGCAGCACTCGAGGCAACACCCTACCTGCTGTACAATCACTCCGGTCCCCAGACCTAATATTTTTATGTTTGCTTAACTCTTACATCTCCTGCCAACTTAGGTACCAACTGCACCATAATTGGGCATTCAGGTAATGATGATTTCATTACTCTTCGTCAACAAAACTCTTTCATTTACTGAAAAGTGCTGAAACACAGATCTTGGTTTCTAATTCTTTTAAGAAAAGAAAAGTGAAGCTCTGAGGAGATGTGTTAGCACTAGTACATTTTCCCCATGTACTGCTGTGACCTGAGACACTTCTTGCTCTAGGAATAAGGATTTCAAATTAGGAACAACGTTTGACTGGCTTTTGCATCACTCCAAACTGGCTCACAAGGCAGCAGAGGTTTGTTTTGGTTTGGTTTTCAGCCACACTGGCTATGCTCAGTAATTCCTTCGTACTCAGGAATTACTCTGGCGGTACTCAGGGTACCATCAGGAATGACTGTGATGGAACCCAGGTTGGCCACGTGCAAGGCAATCACCCTACCCCGCTGCACTATCGCTCTGGCCCCAAGCAGCAGTTAGATTGGTCCCAGGAGTCCTTTACCTCCCTGGCGCTCAGCATCCAGATCCGGAAACGACCTGGCGCAGGTGTGCGGCAGTGCCCACAGCCTGGGGGAGACGCGCCCCTGCAGAGAGCTGGACAGGGCCACACACCACTCTGTTGATCCCGACACAGGCATGGGTGCGAATATCCCAAAGGTGTAATGATTCCCTTTTGGGGCATCATTACAAAAGGTGTAATGATTCCCTTTTGGGGAATCATTACACCCATAGCCTGTAGGACGTTGGCGGCTGCAGACCCCGCGAGAGATGCAGGTGCGCGTGCGTGTCCGTTACCTCTAACTGCTTAGAACTGACCCAGGACAGCCCCGATGCGCGCGCACCTACTGGCCACGGTGGGTGGTAACGTCCGCTAGTCACGCGCAAGCGTCTACATAATTATTGGTGGCTTTTCAGGACACAGCAAGGAAGCAAACATAAAGCCTTGCTTGACGCCCGAGGACAAAGTTCAATCTCAAAATCCATCTCATGAGGAATCCTTGGCTGAAAATCAAGTCTAGGTTCTTCGTGACCGAAGTGGAAGTCCCAAGAAATGTCTCGACTTTCCTGTGTTTCCTGTGTCCAACATCGTTTGGGGAAGGATGTTCCTGATGTTGATAGAATTCTTATGACTTGGATATCCCTACTGAACCAATGTAGAGTGCACAGAGCAGCTGCTGGGAAACGTCCAGAGATCGGTGTCTGCAAAGGCAGCCTCGGTGCTGCAGAGAATGGAATGATCTGACGGCTATGGACGGAGCAGGTCATTCCCTCGATAGCGACCAAAGTGCAATGAATGTTGGATTTAAATGCATAATCCCAAAACCTTTCAGACTGAGAGTTTGGGAAGATCTTATAAATTGTTCCAAAATTAGACTGAAAACTCTCTTTCTTATAAACACTGGAGAAAAGAGTGTAGAGGAAATCTGAATTCAGGGTTTCCCAACCATGGAAAAAATTATGTAGAAGGTAACTTTGTTGAGGATCTGAATATTGAAGTCAGTTGCACATGCATTCTTCTTCACTTCCTAATTCAGACCTCCCTATTCCATCGGCCACTGAATTGCCAGGCAGTGTAAGGATTCAGTTAGGAATGGCAGAAGTTTGTGCTGTGGGGATGGAGTCTCCTAAAGGAGAGAGAAGCCGTTTAAACAATATAAAGAAATCACTGCACATGCCAGCGGGTAGAACATACATGTACTTCTAACCAGAGAGGAAAACAATTATGAGTTCATAAAAATGGGATCCTTTTTGGGTTTCAGCAAATAGTGCATGTCTAGAAATATGTTAACAACAGAATACCAGTTCTGTGTGGGAGAGAGCATTGTACTAATCAGAGAAAGTTGAAGGGAACACCCAGCACTGCATTAAACACACATCATTGAGCCTTTGGCAAAACTTAGCTTTGAACAATGAAAGATATTCCTCAATTCAACATTATATTTAGGAGGCAGATCATCCAAAAAATGGATAGCAAATGCAAAGAAGTAAGTTTGAGTCTGGTCATTGTCTCAACTTGAGGCTTCATGGCTATTCCAGGAAGGATAAGAGCTTCCAGTAGAAAGAAACTTTGAAAATGTTAGTCAAACATGCTAGACAAATCTACATTCCTTTCAGTCCTAGGGACTGGACCCTAATGAATGATCAGGAAACAAACAAACAATAAAGCAAAACCCACTGCATTTGCTGGGGAAAACTCCTCTCAAATTGTGACCTCCATGGGTTCACAAATCACTAATGACTGAATTTTTCAAAGAAAGAGTAGCCTCTGTTGAAGGAGGTCAACAGGGAGAGAGGAAGGAGAGAGATTTGAGGGGCACACAACTAGACTGGTGGATAAAGTATTGAGATCCAGCAAAGACCAAGCCAACCTGTGTGCTGAGAATGGGGAAACTTTGTCTAAGTTGCTAGAAGAGGCCATGTGAGCAGCGCTGCCACTGACCAGTTTGAAGGAAAGATCTGGTCCTGGCCCACCAATCAGAGCCCTTCATGGAATGTTTCCCCAGCCAGGCCCTCCTGGCCCTCCCCTCCCCCACTGCAGAATGTCTTGGCCCAACATTCTGAGGTTTGAATCCAAACCTCTCCCTCACCCACTCGGATCCTGAGCATCTGCGTGAGCAGTTCACTGTCTGATACAGGTCCTGCCTTTTGCCATTGTGAAGGCTGATAAGCTGTAGTGGCCTCTGGCCTCGTCTACGGGGATGGCGTCAGAAGGAGGTAAGCCTGTGAGGGTGTCTGTGTATGTGAGAAAGTCTCTGCCACCTTGAAAGCCTTTGGGTTCAGAGTTATCCTGACTGGGGACACCAAGTTTTGAAGTGGTAAAAGAGGAGAAAGGACTGGGCTTCATAGATAGCTCACCTGCACAGCAATGGGAGCCCAGGAGGACCTGAGGGGACTGGGAGGGCATCCGTGGAGGTGTGTCAAATGACAGGGGGAAGGTCATGGGTATGGACAGAGGGAGGTAGCAGGCATATTGTTGCTTTGTGTGTGAGTGTCCCTGCTTGTGGATGGGGGAACAAGGCCATTTGTCGTGTGTATGGAGGGTCTGTTTGGTGGTGGCACAGGGAACACCGAGGCATGCTGAGTCCTTGTCCCCTCCTGTGCTCTAGAATAAGTTTAGAAGGATTTGGACTTGGGCTGAGCTCAACCTGATGTGGGCAGCTCAGCAGAGATGGTCCAGCCTGAACCTTGTTGAGTGAGGTTGTCTGTGTGCACTTCTGCCATGATGCGTCCACTCCAGAGCTGGGCTACAAGTGGCTAACTGCCACAGTCAGAGCCTGACCCCCCTGCAGATGGGAAATCTCTCCTGGCTGAGCCCAGTAGCTGTCCTGGGCCAGCAGACTGGGAGACAGGTGACTTCAGCGTAGTTATGACTCAGACTCTTGAGTTGTTCTGGATTGTTCTTTTGGTGAAGTTTGTTCTTCCATGGTCTGGCATTTCATGGGGACCAGTCTGCATTTCAGCTCTGAGGTGAAGAATGATTGGTAATCACATCCCCCCTCATACCCTAGAGGGGGGTAGAGATGAATGTGTGTGTGTGAGAGAGACAGAGAGAGAGAGAGAGAGAAAGAGAGAGAGAGAGAGAGGGAGGAAGGGAGGGAGAGAATGTGTGGGGGTGTGTGAGGGGGTGTCTCTATGTCTGTGGGTGTGATTTGTTGGGTTTTCCTGAGTAAAGCCTGTGAAGGTCTGTTCCTTGAGAGGAGGTGGAATGTGCTGAGGCAAAATGATAGCATCCTCAGAGCAGTTGGAGCCTCAGGGCCTCTGTCTTGAGCGTGATGCACACAGGCTCTAGGGCGTCTCTAGGACCAGTCTCTGCCTGAATTCCTCGTGTGCAAGTATGGTTGCAGACAATTTTCTCTCTCCTGGCACCTGGTTTATGCCTGATGTTTAGGATCCTGTCACTGGGATAAAGTCTTAGATTATTTAGAAGATGTCACCAATTTTCAATCTACCATGACCACCAGCTCCAGAACTCTGGAAACCTCCCAGAGTCTGACTGGTGAAATCTCTGACCTTTTCCATCCTTGCCATCGTCCCTGATGGAACTGGCGTAACTCATGGAGCCCAGGACCACTTTCCAGGCCACTCTCGTGGGAAGAGAATGTTGGAGGTAGAAACTGTGACTAAGTGTTCGAGAGACAGGGTGGCAACACCCGCCAGTGTGGAGGGTTGACTGTGGGTTTACTGTGCACAGGCTAGGCAGTGGGTATTGTGCTCCTGTCTGGGTCCTGGGCACTTCTTGGGAAGAACACATTTTCAGAGGTGTTTGCCTTCTTAGTGAAGCAGGAGGCCCTGATGAGCCTACAGCCTGAGTAGACAGTCTGTCCTTTAGACTCTGTTGTCATGGGACCCTGTAGGTGCTGAGCACCTGTGGTGCGGCTGGTCCAGTCTCTGTGACTGACCCTGCAGGGTCTCTTGCCGACAGACCAGTGTGTCCAGGTACATGTTGGGAAGCTCCAAAGAGGCTGGAGGGCAGGGTGTGAGAGGTCAGTGTGCTCAGCACAGAGGCCATCCCAGGACACAAGGACCCTGGCCTTAGGATCTCCACAAAGCATAACCCAGTTGGAGGGGAAGGATGGCCTGTGTCAGCAACTCAGGGCTGAGACAGGGCATGCTGCCTCATTCCCATCAAAGGGCCTGATCTAGAGATGGTTGAGCCAATGAGGCACCGCTGCTCCCTGTACCATCCCCCTCTCATTCCCCCTCCCTCCTCTCCTCGGTGTCTTCAGGGTCTTGCCCTTTCTCAATCCAGGGCCCCCCCAGCCACCACCCTGGGAGCCGATCCAGATGCCCCCTCTGGTGACCTCGACCAGCGTTCCCGGCAACCCTCTGGTGCTGTCACCTTTTCCCATGATGCCCGTGGTGGCAGGAGCTGCCGGTCCTGGCCCCCACAACCCTGGACCTTGCAAGGTCATCATCCAGGTCAGCCCTGAAGCAGGACTTGTGGAGTCATCCCAGAACCAGCCTGTCATCCTGACACAGGCTCCACTCAACTGGGGGACCGCAGAAGCTCCTACTGCGGTGGCCGGGCATCCTGCACCACTCTACTTGGTGTCCTCTGGGCCGGAGACAATTATGCCCACCCCAGCTACTACTGTCACCCGGGCTGGGACAGAAGACCATCGTCCACAGGCTCCACTGCCAGTGGCCCAGGTGGCCCCCATCATCCTCCCATCCAGCAGTGGGACACTGACCCAGTGGGTTTGTGGGGACAGTGGTCCGGCGGCCACCTGGAGCCAGTCACCGCCTAAAAGCTCCAGAAACCCCAACAGCGTCTACGAGAACTTCCGGCGCTGGCAGCGCTTCAAGGCCCTGGCCCGGAGGTACCTTCCTCAGACTCCGGACACTGAGGCCCTTTCCTGCTTCTTCATGTGAGTCCCTCGGGGGTCCTAGAGCTAATGGGAGTTTCCCAGGAGGGGACTGGGGTGACACCCAGGGTAGGGTCCATGGGAGAGCTGGAGGAAGGATGAGGACCCTGTGCCCAGGGATAGCACATACAGGAATCACCCTCAGTGCATCATGGCCTGTAGGACCGGTGGCCACACTGCCCAGCACCTCAGCACAGCCCCACTCACTGGCTGTACTCAGGAATGCCATCCTGGGGTTCTGGCTCAAAGGCCCGTAGTGACCAGCCATGCCCTAAGCCTCACCTCAGTCCCCTCATCAGTGTTGGTCCCGACCTGTGGTCTGAAGGACAGACATTCCGTTCCGAAGACCAGACACAGCACAGATGTGACAGAATTCAGACAGGCCATGACTGCTCGGCCTTGGCGTCTCATGACGTATCCCCAGAGCTAAGAGTGGATGCCAGCAGGGCCACTGGACTGGGGTATAGGAGGCAGAGTCCACTCTGGGAGGGGAGATCAGGCCGATATCGGGGGTCAAGGCATGGGTGTGGGGCGGCGGGGGCTCCTGGCAGACGCAGAGCCTGACCGAGCCTGTTCTTGCAGCCCGGTGCTGCGCACCCTGGCCCGCCTGAAGCCCACCATGAGCCTGGAGGAAGGCCTGCACCGGGCCCTGCAGGAATGGCAGGGCAAGAGCAACTATGACCGCATGATCTACTACGACATGGCGGCCAAGTGAGTCAGGCCTGAGCAGAGAGTGGGGGTCAGGGTGGCTGCAGGCCCGAGCTTCAGGGGCTGGTCCCAGATGGCCGAGGGGAAGGGAGGGCTTGGCAGCCCCGGGAGACCCTTCCCCTGCAGAAACTTGTTCCTCCCGGAGCCGGGACACTTTTCCCAAGCCCACTCTGGGGCTCCTGACCACAGTCTGAGGGTCACAGTCCCTGACCTGCTGTGACCCTCCAGGGCCAATGTGGGGGATCGCTGGGGGTGCTGGGGTCCGTGTCCACCCCATTCTCTACCCTCCTGGGGACTGGGCCATGAGCATCCCCTGTCCCTTACTCATCCTGCTCAGTCCCGTTCAACCCGACTCATCACGGCCTGTGTTCCCCCACACCAGGTTCATGGAGTTTGAGGCTGAGGAGGAGATGGAGGTGCAGAAACTGCAGTGGACGAATGGGGTGCAGGGCCTGCCACTCCCTGCCCCACCCAGGCCTGGGCCTCAGGGGGCTCCAGGCCCACCGCCAGACCAGCAGACAGGTACGGACACTGCTCCCAGCTAAGGGCCACAGGACCTGGAAAGGCCCTCGTGGGTCTTGACCTGCTAAGGAGTCTTCACTCTCCCGATGACCCCCAGACCTGTGCTCAGCGGCCCCCTGTCCACGGGTTTCTCCCTCTCCTAGCACACCCCACGCTGCCTGAGGCGTCAGACTCACCTTTGAAGTGGGGTCGGAGACCCTGGGGACACAGTTGGTCCCTCCTCCCGTTGAGGGCCACCTCATCCCTCACACAGTCACTGGATTCTAGGGCCCTGATCCAGCGTACAGGGACCCGTCCCCAACTCTGTGCTCAGTGCTGTGTGTCTGAGGGCATGGACGCGGGGTCCCCTCACATCCCTCTCTTCTTCCTTCCTCCTCAGCCTGTGTCCCCAAGAAGGCCAGACCCCAGGCCCGGGCAGCCCGCCCCAAGACACACAAACCTCAGCAGCCCCCCAAGACCAAGGCCCCTGAGGAGATCCCTCCTGAGGCCGTGCAGGAGTACATGGACATCATGGACGAGCTGCTTAAGGCCCCCGACTCAGTCTGCAGGGCGCCCCTCGGCCAACAGGCAGTGGACAGGGAGGAGCAGCAGGAGGAGGCTGGGACCTGCCCTGACCCGGGGCTCCTGAGCTATGTGTACGAGCTGTGCTCCCAGGAGGCCTTCGTCACCAAGGTGGGCCTGGGGTCTGGCCTTCTTGGGGACACAGGCTGAGGAGGAAGGAAGAAGAGAGGGATGTGAGGGGACCCCGCGTCCATGCTGCTGTGGGGTCGGGAGGGTGCAGGGCTGCTTCTGTCCAGGGCTTGGCAGTGATGTGCGGTCTCTGCTTTGAGCTCTGTGTGTAAATGCACACCTGTGTTTAGATATTTCTGCTTGTGTTTGTGCGCATGTGTGCACGTGTGTCTCTCTGTGTACAAGCATTGGCTCTTTCTGTGCATTTTTGGGTTTGGTCAATGTGTGAACATCTCTGTGTCTACCTCTGTGTGTACTGTGTGGGCTCTGTGCAGACACGTGCAGATACATGTACATGTACCTAGAGGTGGAAGAGTGTGTGTCTTTGTGTCAGGTGTTTGCATGAATCCATGTGGGTTTACATGTGCTTCTCTGTGAGAGTAGGTGAATAGTCGGTGTGCCTTTGTGGGTGAGGGTGTGTTTGCATCTGTGTGTGTGTGTATGTGTGTGAGTTCTCCCGGTGTGGGTCTGTGTTTGACTTTGTGCAGCTGTTCAAGCCCCTGCCCTGTGCTGGAGACAGGTGTGTTTGCTTCCGCATTCCCTCCTTTTCCCTACGAGGACCCTCACCCCTGCTTCCCTCTCCCAGGCTGAGGCGATCCTTCATCCCAGCTTCCTGGAGTACCTGGTCTCCCCAGAGTCCCAGCTGGATTTCCCGGCCCTGGCTGAGGAGCTGGAGGAGGAGGAAGGACTCACCCCCGCACAGGTGAGGCAGATGGGTCTCTGAGGTCCATGTGGGACCCAGGGGAGTAATGCGAGGGATTCCTGTAAGTTAGTGGGCAGCAAATCAGGACAAACAGGAGGCATATTTCACATGATTCCTGGGAAAGAGACCCTGCAGGGGACACAGTGGACAGGGCCCAGGGCACTCAGAGCAGCAGGTGGGTCGTGAGTCAGGAGGGGCGCCCTAGCGCCCTGGGTCTTGGTCACTTGGTGGCCTCCCTGCCCATGTCATGACCAGGCGCCTCCCTCTGAGTCCTCAGGTGAGAGGAGGACGTGAATATGGGGTGAGGACCCTTAGTGGGACAGAGATGTGGTTTTTCTGTTTCGGGAGGAATCAGGGTCACTCTCTGTCCCACCCTGCACCCCCACATGCCCACAATGTTCCTTCTCTCCCCAGCTTGTGGAAAAGCGTCTGCAGACCCTGCAGGACAAGGAGGTCATGAAGGCTCGTCCCCAACACCAGGTGTCCCTAAAGGACTCGAGTCCAGCTGAGAGTGCAGCAGGCTACTGCACCCCAACACCTACCTGGGGCCACAGGCCAGGGGCCAGCGCTGAATCTGAGACTGACTCTGGACACGCCTCATGGCCTGGGCGGGCCGAGGCCACTGGGATGGCACCTGGAGCCTCTGTCCTCTCTCGGGGGAGCCTGGAGTCTCCACCACTGCAGGCAGGACCGGCCCCCTGTCCCAGCCTCACTGCACCCGCTCTGGACAGCAGGGCTCCCCGCATGCTGGGAGAGGCCCTTCCTGGCCAGGGGTCACCTGGGCCAGCAGAGGGCTCTAGTAAGGAGGAAGAGGACCTGACCAGCCTGTCCTTCCTCCTAACCTCTCACTACAGCCTGCTGCCCTGGGGCTTACCCAGGAGCCCTGGCCCTGACACAGGCCCCGACACTGGCCCCCACCTGCCTGGAGGTGAGGGGACTCCCGAGCTCCCATCTACTCGTACAAGGGCCTTCAAGTCTAAGGCCCCTACCAGGAAGAATCCTCTGTGTGGGGGCCCAAGGCGGCGCACTGCTAAGAAGACCCCCTGTCCCAGGGGGCACCCCACGGTGTCTACTGGCTCAGCCTTGACTGTGGAGCTGGAGGGCCCCTCCCTGCCCCCCAAGAGAAAGTTTCAGCCTGCCATGGCCCAGAGGAGGGGGAAGGGGCACAAGAGACAGTAGGATATCGGGGGGCTCCTCCTGACCACCTCCCAGGGTCTGGCTGCACCCAGAAGCCTTGTGTTCCCCATGATCTTCAGCTAAGACTGCTCTGGAATGGGGGGGGGGGGCGGTACCTAGAATGGGGGGTTTGACTGGAGCAGCCTCTTTGTGTCATTGTGTAAATAGTGAATAAAGTTCAGTTCTTTGGAAACATCTCAGTGTCTGTCCTCTCACTTGTGCTCCTTGGGAGGCCTGAGAGCACAAAGGGTGAGGGGAATCACAGGGGAGGGGGGAACCCTGAGAGTACTGTGCTCCCTGGAGAGTGGAGGAGTCCTTCCCATCTGGAGGAAGATGTGCTCAGTCACCTGCAGGCCCACACCATCCTGAGGGCATAGACAAGGCTCTCATCTTGCTGCATTAGCCTGGACCAAATAAAAAATTAAAGCTCATTGGGTATTTGCATATCATATTCTTCACTCACATAAAATGTACAGTGCTTTGATTTGACATCATAGAATTTAAATGTTTTTGTAACCAGACATATTTGAACATTTGCCATCACTCTTAAAAAAATATGTGGGACGGATAGTACAGCAGATATGTCGCCTGCCTTGCCCATAGCCAATCCATGCACTCGATTCCCAGCACCCCATATAGCCCCCACACTGTGATAAATGAGTCTGTTCAGAGATCCAGGAGTAAGATGTGAGTATACCAGGTGTACCCCCAAAACCAAATAATCATATAATAATAATAAAGGGGGCCGATTTAATGTACTGATTTCATTGTTAAGTGTTTTACCATTTAAATATGGTCCTGGTACCTGTAGAGAAGGTGTTTGAGAACCATTCTTCATTTTCAGTGACAAGATATTTGAAACTCAGGACCTTAGAGATTCTCAGGGAATTAGACTACTAGTTTTAAAAACTAGTTACAACTCTAATTATTGAGAAACAGTAGGAAAACAACTCTTCAGTATTAAACATTTTAATTCTCTGCACTTATCACTATTAACGGGCTGGAGCAATAGCACAGTGGGTAAGGCGTTTACGTTGTAGGCGGCCAACATGGCTGTCCCCTGTAAGGCTATGTTGGCTGCTGGGCCTGCAGGAGGACAGGACACCCCCCTGAAATTGGTGCTGGGCTGAGCGTGTGTCTGGCAGCACATGGCCTTTGCGCCCCTCAGTATGCATGTTCAGACATTGGGCTGGTTTCAGGGTCTCTCTTGGGGTTGGTGGGGGGTCTTCCCAAGGAACACTCAGGAGGTCTGGGGGCACCATGAGGGATTCTTTATATTTCTAACACATTCGGTACCATGATTTCTAATGCTACTGCCATAGGTTTTCATGGACAGAGTGTCTCTCCACCACACCAGCACCAGAGTGCCCACCGCCCTCTGCTACAGTGATGGAGGTCCATGAACACAGTGTCCTACATACCAGCACCAGAGCACCCACTGCCCACTACCCACTGCTACAGTAATAGGGGACCATGGACACAGTGTCCTACACACCAGCAAAAAAGTGCCTGTCTCTCTGTCTGTCTGTCTGTCTCCCCCCCACCCCCTCTCACTTCCCTTTTAGGCAGTGTGGTTTGCAATACTGTTACTGAAAGGGTATCATGAGTATCCCTTTACCTCCTTTCAGCACTGCCCACTGCTACAGTGGTAGGGGTCCATGGACACAGTGTCCCTTCACCACACCAGCACCAGAGTGCCCACTGCCCTCCCCAGCCATGGCTCCAGTCCCCTCTCCCCCAGACCATCTTCCCCTGCCACCCAGGAAACTCCACTCTCCAAACTCTTCCTTAGTTTTTATTGTTTCTGGCATTTATTATTTCCTTATTACAACTCTTTATATGCCACATCTGAGGGATAGATCTATGCACACCTATGTAAACTTCATCACTGGCATTTCTTGGCCAATTCAATGGCAACTCAGTGCCAGGGTGCCTCCAGGGCTGCACCCAATGATGCATGCTGAACATGCCCCCAAACAGCTCTAAGAGCTTCCAGACCCATGGAGGTCAGTTCTTTCAAAGGGGTGATTAACAGGAAAGAGATCACTGACATATACCCAAATCCAACAGGACTGGTGTCCTGATGAGAAGAGACACGGACTCACACAGAGGCACACACAGATGAAGTGGAGAGGCCTCGGGTGCGATCAGCCCTGCTGCCCCTGCATCTCATACCTCCAGGTTCCAGAGATGTCTCCATCATTTGCGTTATGGGCCTGTCCTATCGTTTCTGAGAGATGGCAGAGATTGATCATCATCTGGGAAGATATGCTCACCTTCGACACAGAGGAGAGTCTACCAACGTGGACACAAACAACTCTTTCAGCAGGTGCCCAGTGGCCTCAGTGGCCTGCCCTCCTGCCAGTCAGCCTTCCTGCCAGACCTCTTTCCTTGACCAGGGGTTCAGATGACCAGACCACAAGAAGGGACACGCACCAATTTCAGAGGAAGGTGAGCCTTTATTTGGTTTTGCTTTGCTTTTCCAGGCTTGGGTTTGGGATCACAACAGATGGACAGAACCACAGAGATGGTGGCAAGTGTGAGGCTCCAGTAAGAATGCTGAGGACTGGGGCAAAGAGCAGGGACAGAATGTTCTTCGGTCACTACAGGTCCTGCCATAGGGCCTTAAGCACTAAGAGCAACAGGAGCCAGTGCTGTAGAGGTCTGAGGGTTAATATCGATGAGCTGGAAACTGGCTAGTATTCATATAGAAATGGGACCTCAGGAGGAGCAGACAAGGAAACAGGAAGAGGCACAAGTCTCTGGATCTGGACGATCCACTTGATGAAATGGGCAACACTGGTGAAGACACTGAGAGATATGGGACGCTGGTAGTCCAGGCCCTAACTGGGCAGCCCCAGAAGAACCCAACTCTAGGAGAAGTCGAAGAGCAGAAGGCCTCCAGAATCACCCTAAAATAAGAGAGGGCAATCAGTGTGGACAATTGAGGTGGGGCTCAGAATTCTAATTATAAGGACAGGTTATTGGGCATGGCTGTTTGGGTGTTTTCAGTGGTCCCCTGGGATGATCCTGATCCCAGTGTCCTGATATAGTTCTAGTGTCAGGAGTCGGAACTACCATCCTGCACTAGGAAGCTCCAAATTGATCCTTGGGACAGTCACAGATGGAAATCTATCAATCATGCAGTTAAACTTGGCCACTGGCCGAGGACCTTGTACTAACTCAGCATCAGAAGTGATGGTTAATGAATAAGGGCCGAGAGACTAAGCCTGTGAGAGGCACTGGGTGTCTGAAGCCACTATAGACCTTTTCAGAAAGCTGATTACAGCAGTATGCACCTCCTAGAATCCTTCCTCTCAGTCACTTCAGCCTCTGGGTTTCTCAAAAATGTTCAGACTCTTTGGAAAATGCTCCTACCTAGGTGTGGTGGAGAAACTCTATAATGCTGGGGCCTGAGGGGTGGGGGGCTCATCACCACAAAGCATCCTGAAATAATCTCAGGGAAACCAGTGTGGGCAGAACCCCTCTTACTGCATCAAAGAGAAAGGCTCATCTAGGCAGGGACGTTGGGGAGCAGGAACTATATCTCTGAGGCTCCTCTAACCACACTGCAGAGAAATGCTCCCTGAGTACCCTTGTGTGATTCCTAGTACTGGAGCTTTAAGGCACACAGGCACATACAGAGAAGACCAGAAACCTCTCTCAGATTGACACGTGCAATCAAATCTCATAAGAGAAGGGAGCTGTCTAGAAGGGAGAGGCATTGCTCATTGCTGAGCTGGGATTCCAAGCAAGAAACTGAAAATGACCTTGTGATCCTGGAGTCAAGGGAGCAGAGGGTACAAAGAGGAGGGTCCAGTGTGGTAGGAAAAGCAGAAGCATTGTGGGGAGCAAGGAAGGCAGTTAGGGATTATACTGGTCAGCCAACCATGGAGAAGTAGATCTGCAGCCGGGCGGATCTTGAATTACTATGAAGAAAAGACAGCACTGACTGAGAATTCAACAGAGGGGCTACAAGAGAATGTCAGACATCATAGATGGAGGAAGAGGTCCAAAGACCTGAGATTTGGGAGAATATTTACAGAAAGGCACTATGAGATCTGTGGGTTCTAACCATTCTCACCAGGGGAAGATAAAATCAGGTCCTGGGGTCTTGTGATCCAGTTGTTAGCAGGGAGGGACCAGGAGAAGAGCAGAGAAGGCCAGTGGCCAATCCTATGACAGGAAACAGGGCCAACAGCCCTCCCTTATATTGGCGAGAAGAGTTGGGGACTCTTGCGGCCTGGGCAAGATCACAGCTGCCAAGGAAACAGACCACAGAGTGATGGGGGCAGAATGGAGACACAACTGGGTGTGGGGATCGAAGAAACAAAGGGTGAGGAGGAGGAGGAGACTCGGAAAAGGTAGAGCGAGGGATGGTGGCAGCAGATCAGAAGCTAATGGTATCTTCAAAGATGTCACGCCACTGGCCAAGCAAGTGAATACAGAGATAGACAAATGGGACGATCTTAAACTAAGAAGCTTCTTCACCTCAAAAGAAACAGTGACCAAAATACAAAGAGAGTCTACAGAATGGGAAAGAATATTCGCCGAACACACATCTGACAAGGGGTTGATATCAAGGATATACAAAATACTGGTTGAACTCCACAAGAAGAAAACATCCAACCCCATCAAAAACGGGGCAATGAAAGGAACAAAAACTTTCTCAAAGAAAAAATCTGAATGGCTAAAAGGCACATGAGAAAATGCTCTACACCATTAATCATCAGGGAGATGCAGATCAAAACAACAATGAGATATCATTTCACACTACAGAGACGGGCCCACATCCAAAAGAACAAAAGCAACCGGTGCTGGTGCGGATGTGGTGAGAAAGGAACTCTCCTTCACTGCTGGTTGGAATGCCGACTGGTTCAACCCTTTTGGAAAACAGTATGGATGATTCTCAAAAAATTAGAAATTGAGCTCCCATTTGACCCAGCTGTACCATTCCTGGGAATATGTCCCAGAGAGGCAAAAACGTATAGTCGAAGTGACATCTGCACTTGTTTGTTCATTGCAGCACTCTTTACAATAGCCAGAATCTGAAAAAAACCTGAGTGCCCGAGAACAGATGACTGGTTGAAGAATCTTTGGTACATTTACACAATGGAGTACTATGTAGCTGTTGGAAAAGATGAATCATGAAATTTACATACAAGTGGTAATACATGAAAAGTATCATTTTAAGAAAAATGAGTCAAAAAGAGAGGGATAGACACAGAAAGATTGCATTCATCTGGGAAACATAAAGTAACAAAATAGGAGACTAACACCCAAGAGTGGCCGAGATTAGTACCAGGAATTTTGCTCCATGACTTGGAGGCCAGCCGCACGTGCTAGGGGAAAAGAAAGCTCAGATAGAGAAGGGAGCACCAAATAAAGGGTGTTAAGAGGATCCTCCCAGGATAGGAGAAGCATGCTGAAAGTAGACTATAGACCAAACACAATTGCCACTCAATGCCTCTCTGGCAAACCACAGCACCCAAAAGGAGAGAGAGAACAAAAGGGAATGCCCTGCTACAGAGGCAGGGTGGGATGGGGGGGGTGGGGGATGGGAGGGATACTGGGACCCGTGGTGGTGGAAAATGGACACTGGTGGAGGGATGGGTTCTTGATCACTGTATAACTGAAACCAAGCACAAAAATTTGTAAGTCTATAACTGTACTTCAAGGTGATTCACTAATAAAATAAATAAATAAATAAATAAATAAAGGCACTTAGGGGCTGGAAGGCATTTGTCTTTCACGCGGCTGACCCACATTCAATTCCCAGCATCCCATATGGTTCACCGAGCATCGCCAGGAATAATTCCTGAATGCAGAGCCAGGAGCAACCCCCTGAGCATTGCTGGGTGTGACCCAAAAGGAAAAAGAAAGTAAGAAAGAAAGAAAAAAAGACAGACAGACGAAAGAAAGAAAGAAAGAAAGAAAGAAAGAAAGAAAGAAAGAAGGGAAAATTCAAAATAATGGTGGTGGGAAGGTCTATGGAGTTGGGATTGGTCTTGGAATATTTAATGTAATAAATTATTGTGAACAACTTTATAAAAATAAAAAAATTTTAAAAGGCAAATAAATATTTCCTTTTCCCTAATCAGTATGCCATCAACATTTCACTAAAGTATAAACATACTTCTCTGAACAAGTTCATGTTTATACTCAATGTTTATATTTCTAATTTAACTAAAAACCTCCACAATGTTTTGCCCTGTATTCACCTTATATCTCCATTCACCTAACAAATCCAAGAGGCAGATAGGAGACACAGGTTAGGAGAAGAACAAAACTGAGGTGATCCAGCTGAGATAATTTCAGGCCATGATCGTTCTTCCCCGAGGTTCTTCAAGAGCTTTTTTCTTACTTTTACGTGTTCCTTCTGGAGCGATAGCACAGTGGTAGGGCGTTTGCCTTGCACGCAGCCAACGTGGCCGACGCGAGTTCGATTCCTCCGCCCCTCTCAGAGAGCCCGGCAAGCTACCGAGAGTATCTCATCTGCACGGCAGAGCCTGGCAAGCTCCCCGTGACGTATTTGATATGCCAAACACAGTAACAACAAAGTCTCCAATGGAGACGTTACTGGGCCCGCACGAGCAAATCGACGAACAACGGGAGGGCCTTTACTTTACTTTACGTGTTCCTTCTATGGCCATGGAAAAATCAAGGTATTTCACAGTAGAAAGAGACAAATTCATTTCACAAAGTCATGTCTGATCTACATCAAATTGAAATATTAGAACCAAGGGGCTAGAAGATAACAGAAGTGAGAATACATGCTTCTCACAAAATCATTGCCAGTCATATCTCTGGCATGACATGTTCCCTGAGCGTCAAGATAAAGCCTTACTGGCCCTTGAGCACAACCAGATGTGGCCCAGAGGTTTCCCCAGCATCAGTGGGGTGGCCTGCAGGACCTAACAACACTGCATCCTCAAACTGAGCAGGTAGGCCATACACCACTAAGAGGAGTTTTCAGGCCACCTAAACAGCATTTTTGAGAAACCCTAAATCAATTAATTTATCAGTTAAATTTGGACACCCAAACCAGAGAAACTTTGAGATCCAGATTCCTGACTCCAAAAACCAAAGGACCCCAGAATTTCAGTGTCTTCAACTTGAGTAACTTTGAAGCTTTCAGAAGGACACATTTTTCACAAGAGGAACTAGAAGAGTCCAGCTCTCTGGAAATGAGGCACAGAGGGACAAGGTCACTGGCCTCCATGCTAATTAGAGATTTTGATGAGCTAGAATCCCATTCCCCATCTCCCACCCACACCCACACCATAGCTACTCACTGTTCTCGGTGAGCTTTCCCCAGCCAGTTATCCAACAAGATGTGTCAAGGGGCAGCTCCATGCCAGGGGTTGGAAGGCAGACAGGAATGATATAGGAGCTGAAGTTCACAGGTTGGTGCAGTTGTAACACCGTTGCAAAATGGTGGAGCTTCTTAAAGTCTGCATGGATGATAATGCAGCTCACAGTCACTCTCCTGGCGTATTGGGTGTCCTGGTAGAGCTAGGTATTTCCCCCAAACACCCAGTAATCTTCAGGGGCATGAGACTTCCTGCAGGAGGGAAGGTGACAGTCATTATCTTCTGCATATGGCAGCTTGCACCTCTACACCATCATCTGACCCCCAGCACTGCCTTGTCTGCACCACCCCACATGACTCTCCCTTTCTGTCAGCCCTTCTCTCTGGAGTACAGCAGCAGTTTTAATCACAACTCAGCACACGCCCACTATTGGAGGAAGGGATCACGGAGGGCTGGAGGCCCCCATGAGTCTAGACGATCCTGACCTTCCTTGGGCACATGCAGAGAGCCCTGAGTCTGTCTTGGCTCTTGACCCGCCTTATGACCAAACTGCTCTAGCACCACTCCTTTCTCTCACTTCCTTCTATTTTATTTTTATTTTTATTTTTATTTGCTTTTTGGGTCACACCCGGCAATGCACAGGGATTACCCCTGGCGCTGCACTCAGGAATTACTCCTGGCGGTGCTCAGGGCACCATATGGGATGTTGGGGATCGAACCCAGGTTCGCCACGTGTAAGGCAAATGCCCTACCCACTGTGCTATCGCTCCCGCCCCTCACTTCCTTCTTGGTACTCACCTGTTCTAAAACTGCACAAAATCATTGGTCAATGGGAGACCATGTGTGCAGGATGTCCTATGTTCTGACCATGAGGGAGGAAATATCCCACCTTCCACTCCACCACCTGGAAATTCCTCCCCACACAGTCGGTGACCAAACTCTTGCTTCCACAAGCTGACCTATGCCCACAGGAGCCTACCCATCTGACTTCCACACTCCAATGGTGTCAGCCCTGCTCATCCACAGGGGGAACTTTGGCTCTGACTAAATGGAGACACAGTGAGGTGGGTCAAGCCAACCGAATCCATAGTGAGTCTCAAGTGGGACACAGCACAGAGCAGATGCTTGTGGTTCTCTATGTACCGAAGATCCAGATCCTGGTTACTGCCCCTCCCAAACCTATAGGAACAGCCAACTAGACCCAGGACAGAGAGCAGCTCTGTTCTTCTTCAAGGTCACGGACTCCATATCTAGTGTCCATGCAGCTGGCCAATAGACATGTGCTGAGCAGAGACCCCAGGCCAGAGACATGCAGAACACCAGCATCTGACCCTGCATCCCAAGTTCCAGCCTCTCTCTGCCAACCAGGATTGCAGGGACACTGACGGAAGCCCTGGTGTGAGGTGACAAAGAGCCAGCTCTCATTGCACCTGGGAGGCAGGATGAACACTGCCATCTCGGGGGCATCCCTGTGTCGGAGGAAGGCACAGGGACGAGGATGGAAGATGAGCAAAGTCAGGTGAGGAGTGAGGACAATACAGGAGAGGACAGGTCACAGGCAGAAAGACTTGGACTAGAAGGACACAGATTATCCCAGCACACAGCCTTGAGGACTTGGGAGCTCTAATCTCTTAACCCTCCCCGCCTGCCAGCCCAGCTGCAAGGACCCAAGAAACAACTCGCTTTGTAAATCAGTGGGCTGTAGAGAACACCCAGTGGGAATCAATGAGCACAGCTCCACAGGGATGAATGCCCCGGTACTGCAGGCGGGCCTGCCATGGCCACTGGCCTTCCACGGCCTCCTGGCCACCAGTGATCATCCCTACGCCCCTGGGCTTCCCGCACACTGTGGACACCAGCCCGATACCGTGTGGGAAACAGGGAGGTCCCCGTTTCCTCTCCGGTAGACCCTTGACCTCTTCTCGGTGGGAAAGCCAGGAGCAGGGCTCAACCAGCCCCAGAGCCACAGGGCAGCTTGGTGTCTGATGTCCCTGCCCGCTGCCTGGGCAGCAGGAACCTGGACAGCAGAGCGCGCGTGAGCAAGCCCCGTGGGAGGGCGCGGAAGGGATGTGGTGGCCACAGCTGGTTCCAGCCGCATCCCGGCGACCCCATGCCCACAGCGCCCCCACTCCACTCCCACCCCGGGCCCAGACACCAGCTTTGTGTGCGGGGCTGTCCTAGTATCCCGCCTCCACCTCCCCGCTGTCTCGGGAGGGGCGGAGGTGGGCCGTGTGGCCTGGACAGGGGGGACCGGGTGCCCCAACCGCGTGGACGCAGTGGCTGGCTGCCCGCACGAAGACTGGGGAACACCGCGAGGAACAAACAGGCTGGGCCAGTCCACTCCAGGCTGTTCCCTGCCCAAGGCCATCCGCTCACCTGCGCCCAGGGCGCCCCAGGCACCTCCTGGGCCCGAGGGCTTTGGGGGCGGGACTTCCTGCAGGGGCTTCCTGGTTCTGTGCCCAGGGCCAGAGTGGCCCCGCCCCTCTGTCCTCTGACCCACCCTGACACTGCCCCCTGACCCTAAGACATACATGACCTCTCTAATCGCACCCTCCTCCTTGGACACAGCTCTCTCCTGAGCCCTCCTTGACCTCGGACCTGCCCCTGCGCTGTCCCCGCGCTGGCCCCGCCCTGACCCCGTCCTAATCCCCTCGGACCCGAGCTCTCACACCCCACCTTGGCCCCACTCTGACCAGGTCAGGCCCCGGAGAGTTGGAGCAGAGTCCATGGAGCAGCTGAGTGCTTCTGCTCACTCAAGGGGGGGACCTAGGGACTCCAGGTGGCTTTTGGAAGAGATCTGGGCTGGAGAGGTCGAGCTCCGAGTTGAGTAGGGGCCTCAGGCGCAGCTGGAGCTGCGGGAGTGGATCCATCCTGAGATGAGAACGTTGGAGCAGAACGGGAGACCCCAGGAGCGAGCCGAGAGGAGGGACCCAGGGAGGCAGGATTGAACGGGGATGCTTCAACCCAGGAAGGGCCAGCCACACCACTAGATAAGGGATACGCTTCTCAGCTTGTTACAGAGTTCAACTGAGATAGAATTCGTGTCATAAAATTCACCCATTAGAAGGGACAATTCCATAATTTTCAGTATCATTTAGAATTTTTCAGTAATGACTTTCATTGTAAATAATCTGAAAGATCCTTAGTGAGTGAATCATCAGGGAAAACAGTATAATCCGTTGTAACAAATACTAAAGTCCAATATAAGAAACATTGATTCTATCAGAGGATGTCAAGTGAATTTTGCTCAGTCATCTAGTCAGTAGTCATTTCTATAACATTTCATTTTCATAGCATGTATAGTCCCGTTCGGAGAATATCATTCTCAATAAGACAAAGTTATAAAGATGGAAAACTGTGGCATGGTGATCACTTACCATGAAAACCATCTTACTCAAAATATGAGATTTAAATATTGATGTTCAGTTTATTCATTTTTCAGCTTATTAATCTGGTGTTTTCTATCATCGCTAAGAATTTTACTTTTGCACCTTTGTCAAAACTGATTTTGTTTTTCTGTTTATGTGTCTGGGATTGGCAGAAATTTCTTATAAATTGCTAAGTCTGGAAATTAGATTCTTCCTGCTGGATTTCTTGGCTTACTGTAGTATTTTTTTCCTCCCCTTGTGAAATCTACAATAATATATATGCTGATTTGGAGAGTTTTCCAATTTGTTGTTGATTTTCTGTCGCAAAGCCTATTCCTTATCGTGTGTGGTCAGTGATGTTTCTGTTCTTTACTTCATGTCCTCCTTGTGTCCATCTGAGCTCTCAGCTCCCTGAGACCCATTATAACACTAGTGAACAAGAGACAAGAAAACAAAATTCACATTTTCCTCTGCTGTGAAATGTCTCTCCTGTCAGATGAACCTACAGGAGAGATCAGAGGCAGCTGATGTCAGAAAGACCCTGTCTTTCATCTTCTCTGCCGAAACCTATGTTAAAACGCAAAGAAGTGGGGCTGGAGCAATAGCACAGCAGGTAGGGCGTTTGCCTTACACATGGCTGACCCGGGTTCGATTCCCAGCATTCCATATGGTTCTCTGAGTAGCGCCAGGAGTAATTCCTGAGTGCATGAGCCAAGAGTAAACCCTGTGCATCACTGGGTGAGACCCAAAAAGAAAAAAAAGAAAAAAAAGAAAAAAGCAAAGAAGAGCCAGACATAGGTACAGAGGTAAAGACTTGCATGTGACTAAATCCTGCTTTGATCCAGGAAACATTTATGGTCCTCTGAGCACTGCCAGGAATGATTTCTGAGCACAGAACCTAGAGTAGGTCGTGAGCACCACTGGATGTATTCCAAAAACCAAAAGGGAAGAGAAAAAAATAACAAAAAAAGTAAAGAGAGAATATCTCATAAATCTACAGTCAAAGGCCTTACTTTGTCATTTATGAGTTCCTAGAAAAAGAAGAATGCCTGAGATAGAATTTCTTTCTGCATCACACCCACCAGACACCTTAGGAATGAGATTCAAATAATTTGGGCTCCTATGTCATTTTAATTTTTGTTTATTTATAATCAAGTTCCTATCATTTCCTTCTGCTAATTTTTTCTTTCCATCTCCATATTCTTCACATGTGACCTCAAATTGATTATTTGAATCTTTCTTACTTTTTCTTTTCTTTTTTTAAAGGTAGGCCTGTATCGCTTTGATCTTCCCTAATTCCCATCACTTTCTTTGCTGCATGTCCTAGTTTATTTTTACTTTGTCTCCTGTTATTGTTCATATATCTTATGTATTTCCTCATTGTTTCAAGCGCTATTCAGAAGAATCTTGTTCTGCTTCTGTTTAGTGTGATTCTTACTGTTTGCTTTTGGGTTGATTTTTTTTTTTCCTTCATAGCTTTGTAATGGGAAAAGATGCTTAATTTCACTTAAACGTTTATATTATTATTGATACTTTTGTAGAGATCTATGATTGAGTTGAACTGGACAACGATCCACATGCACTAAGAAAAACGTGAGTGTTTCCTCATAGGTTCATTCTCTTGAAGCCTTGCCAGCTTGTGATTTCTAAATCGCCGCTTTTTCCAATACCAGAAGGTGTCGCTGTGACCTTACTTCTGGGTTTCTTTTGGGTCCTGGTTGGAGGAGGGGAAAGGCAAGCCAGAGACAAGTTCCCTTAGCCACCCACAGCCCTGGGCACATGGACTATTCACCTACTCTCACAGAGAAGCACGTGTGAACACACATGGATTCATGCACACACCTGACATAAAGACACACACTCTTCCACCTCTAGGTACGTGTACATGTATCTGCACATGTCCGCGCAAAGCCCACACAGTACACACAGATGTTGACACCCAGAGATGTTCACACATCGATCAAACTCAGAAATGCACAAACAAGGGCCAGTGTTTGTACACAGAGACACACATGCACACATGCACACAAACACAAGTAGAAATATTCAAGAACAGGTGTGCATACACACACAGAGCTCAAAGTAAAGACCACACGTCACTACCAAGTCCTGACAGAAGCAGCCCTGCACTTTCCCACCCCACAGCAGCGCCCAAACCCCCACCTTGGTGACAAAGGCCTCCTGGGAGCACAGCTCTTCCACGTAGCTCAGGAGCACCGGCTCAGGCAGGTCCCAGCTTTCTTGTGCTGCTCCTTCCTATCCGATGCCCGTCGGCCGAGATGGCCAACCTGGGTTCCATCCCAGTCATCCCAGATGGTACCCTGAGCACGGCCAGAGTAATTCCTGAGTGTGAAGGAATTACTGAGCACAGCCAGTGTGGTTTAAATCCAAAACAAAAGAATCTCAAAATAAAACAGCAATAAAACAGCAGGAGCAAACAAAGCCCTACTACCTTGTGGACATTTTCTTATGATGCAAAAGCAAACATAGTGTTTCCTTATTGAAAACTTTAGCCCTTGAACGTCAAGAAAGTCAGGTCAGTTGTAAATGGGGAAAATGGGAAGCTCTAACATATGTGAAAATACATACATAGAAAAGTTTCACCTTTGTTTCCCAAAACGTTTTGGAACCAACAATTAGGTTCCATCACTATTCCCTCATCAATAAATGAAACAGTATTCTTGACTTAAAATAATGAAAATAATCCTAATCTGACATCCAATTGTTGTGCAATTGGTAGCAGGGTTAGCAGGAGATGCAAGAATTAAGCAAATATCAACAAAGACATGTAAGTTTCAGTTGAGCTTACAAAATTGACAGTGAAACTATGT